AGGAAGGAAGGAAGGAAGGAAGGAAGGAAGGAAGGAAGGAAGGAAGGAAGGAAGGAAAAGAGAGAGGGGGAAGTACTTCACTGGTAGCAGGCTTTGGGAGTGGATAGTTTATAGTGTCGCCACCCTTCTAGTTTGCCCTCTGCTTCCTGATGTGATCTCTCAGCTTGTGGTTCTTACTGCCTTGTCTACCATTTGCTGCCGAAATGGACTCCGACCCCCCTGGAACAGCAAGTCAAAACAAACTCTTCCTTAGTTACGCTTCAGCGTGGCATTTGTCACAGCCACAGAAAAGTAACTAATGCAGAGGTTAATGCTGGTATTCGCTCCTTGTTATTCAACCCAGGATCCAAGCCCAAGGGACGATGTGGCCCACATTTAGGGTGGGTCTTCTCTCTTCCACTAAGCCTTCCTGGAAATACCACACTGAGGGGTGGCTCCAGACGGTCTCATGCCAAAGCAAAGAGAAGACTCTGTACTCTGCTCACAAACCTCAAAGAACAAAGGTCAAATTCACACAAGATCGCAGGAAAATGTGTGCACGGATATTCACAGCCACAGTCTTCATAACAGTCCTGTGTTAATCAGCCTCCTTATACTATAACAAAATGCCCGAGATAACTGACTTGGACAAGGAACAATTTTCTTAGCTCATGTGTTCTGAGATTCCAGTCCATGATCAAGTGACCCCAATGCTTGGGAACTTGGAAGGCAGTCCAGGAGTGAGAGCAATGAAGCAAAGTCTCTACACCATGAACCAGGAGGCAGCAGAGAGGAAGAGGAAGAGGCTAGCGTTTCACAGGCCCCTACAAGAACATTTCCCCAAGACCTAAGGGCCTCCAACTAGGCTGCACCTCCCAACAGTGCCCCCTCAGAACTAAGCCTTTAAAACCTTTGGGTCAGCAAGATGGTCCAGCAGGTAAAAAAACATGTGTGGGCAAGCCTGATGACCTGAGTGCAATCCCTGGAATTGACCCATGTGAAAAAGCCAGATGCATAGTTCCTATCTATAATCCCAGCACTCCTTGAGCAATATGGGAGGCATGGATAGGAAAATCGCTTGGAAGTTCACCGCCCAGCTACTCCGGAGTGCACAGCGCAGCACAAGAAAGGTAGGAAGACAGAACCAACTCCTGAAGGTTGTCTTCTGACCTCCACGGTGAGCCATGGCAGGCACATATATACACAATAATAACACATAAAATAAAAAATTTTAAAAAGTACATGGACTTTTGGGAGATGTTTCTCTAAATGATAGCAAGCCCCAAAGTCAAAACAAGCCACATTCCCAACAGCAGGTGAATGGGTTAACAAAACATGGTACAGTCATACAATGAATAACTCCAGCTGTAAAACAGTGAAGTACTAATAGGTGCTACACTGGTGAACCTTGAAAACGTCATTCTAACTGTAAGACACCAGACACAGAAGCCACATAAGGTATGATTCCACTCAAGTAAAATATCCAGGACAGACAAACCCATAGAGACAGAAAGCAGACTGGTGCCGGGCGGTGGTGATGCACGCCTTTAATCCCAGTGCTCGGGAGGCAGAGCCAGGCGGATCTCTGTGAGTTCGAGGCCAGCCTGGGCTACCAAGTGAGTTCCAGAACAGGTGAAAAGCTACACAGAGAAACCCTGTCTCGAAAAACCAAAAAAAAAAAGAAAGAAAGAAAGAAAGAAAGAAAGAAAGAAAGAAAGAAAGAAA